CACCCTCTTGGCATGGGTTGGAGCAGGCGGGGGTGGGTCATCGTGGTCCCGTCGGCGCGGACGCCGCTTCCGCGGTGGAGGGGTGGGGGTGCGGGCGCGGGGCTCCTCCTCCTCGTCCTCGTCGTCGTCGTCCTCCTCGTGCCGCCGTTTGTTGTTGGTTGCAGATTCTACACTGATACTAAAACAAGAAAAAAAATTAATACCACGGAATATTTAGAAACCACCAAGTGGCAACTGAAGCGACTAACTTACTCCATACACGTGTAGTCGAGACTCTTAGGAGAAAGATCGGTCATGTCTGAGGTGCATGAGGGCCGCCGAGTGTAGGGGTGAGGCCTGGGGCCGTAGGTAGTTGACGGGCCTGGAGTCGCAGGGTCACTGCCGTCGACGACCTCTGGGACGTTGACGCTTGGGTGGTGATGGATGATGGCGGTTGTGGTTATTTTGGTGGTGGTGGGCGTTCTGGTGGAGGTGGGCGTTCTGGTGGTGGTGGGCGTTCTGGTGGTGGTGGGCGTTCTGGTGGTGGTGGGCGTTCTGGTGGTGGTGGGCGTTCTGGTGGTGGTGGGCGTTCTGGTGGTGGTGGGCGTTCTGGTGGTGGTGGGCGTTCTGGTGTTGGTGCGACCACCCCGGCCGCCGTCGCCACCCCGGCCGCCGTCGCCGTCACCCCGGCCGCCGTCGCCGTCGTCACCCCGGCCGCCGTCGCCGTCGTCACCCCGGCCGCCGTCGCCGTCGTCACCCCGGCCGCCGTCGCCGTCGTCACCCCGGCCGCCGTCGCCACCATCGTCACCCGGGCCGCCGTCGCCACCATCGTCACCGTCATCATTGTCGCCGCCTTCCTCACCCTGGTCTGCGGCCAAGACCCTGTGGAAGAAACACAATGAAGTTTACCAAGTTGAGAGATACTTTAGCTAGCACACGATCGCACTATCCAGCTTACCCTTGGGCCTCGCGACAGAGGTCCTCGACTGCTCCACTGAAGTCATAAATCAGTCGTTCTATCTCTTGGAAATGCCTGTACATTCCGCTGGAAGAAGGAAAAGCAAGTTAAAAGACGCTCTTGGGCCGCCGACCGGCCGACCACTTGACTCATCCTTGACCGGATACTCACTCCTCGTTGCCGTCCCGCGCAGCAATCACGGCGTACCGCATGGATTGCAGGGCAGCCCGACTGTGGCGCTCCACGCTGGCCTCCGCCTCAGCCCTACAAGCAGAAAGGACGGTTGAGACGAGTCACTTCGAGACACGGGGCAAGCCGGGCAAGCCCGGGGCTAAGCTCACTCGGACTCACAGCTGCAAATTCTCCTGGCCAAGGGGACCAGCCGCCGCCGTGGCCAGCCGACCCCGCTTGACCAGGTTGTCAAGAGTGGACTGCAGGGCGTCGTCCAGGTCGGCGGGCACCTCGCCCGGGACCGGCAGCTCACTCAAGTTGGTCCCGCAGTAGGCTCTTAGGTATCTTGTGAAGTTATTGTAGATGGCTACTTGCAGGGGACTGAAACAGAAGACATTGTTAGTGCGAAGCAAACCAAATTGGAAAGGGGAGGCAGACGGGCGGGGCGACTTACTCATTGCGGTTGAATTGGCGGCACACCCGGATATGGATTGCCCTGTGCTGGAAGGTGTTGAGGGGGGTGGAACAAAATTCGCATCTTATTTTTCTTGGGGCAGGGGCGTATCCGGGCGGGTTGGCGGTGGGCATCCACGGCCCCTCTGCACCGGTGATATCTATCTCGCAGGTGGCTATAAGCTCATACATGGCTGCAACAAAAAGTTCACGTAAGCAAGGAACAGTCGCGTCGCAGGGGCGTAATTAGGGCTCACTAAAGGGGGAGGGGGATGCGTTACGGGTTACCTTTAGGGGCGAACTTGTCATTTTTATAGTGTTGCATCAAAACAGTACGGTAAATATTACCTCAACTACCAAGTACTCATATTGTTTAAGTTTCATTAATTATATGAACAACGTCCACGCATCAAAACAAACAAACAATCCACGAAAAAGCCGAAATCCCCTCCCTCCCCCACTAATTACCAGGGGCGTAATTAGGCGGGTCGAAAGGGGGGGGGCGAATGTTTGAAAAGTTGCCTACCTTCAAGGAGCCTGTGTCTGATAGGTAATTTTTAGGGACGTGGTTTGGGGAGGGGGGGATAAATTCAAAACAACGTTACAGAAAATTGAGGGGTTGTTACAAAGTTTGAAGAGGATTCACTTTATTCTACATTTGTTTGGACTCATAGTGAGAATTTAGAATTAGATAGCTCTCAGCGAGCGAAGCGAGCCAAAAGCTATAAATGCTTAACTGTCTGAAACGTTGTTTCCGAGTCCTACAATGGGGAAGACTTTTTCGTCTAGAAGGGCTGGCGCACTTTGCTTCCCCCCACTTGCCACGGAGCCGAAATTTAGAAGAGGCTTCCTGTTGCGAGCGAAGCGAGCTAAAAGCTATAGCCTTGTTGAGCGGGAAATGTTATAACTTGGGGTCTTAGTCCTAGGGTTCCAGGAGATTTTAAACATTACCAGGTACATATTTTTGGTTGGCCAGACAAACAAATGGTTGAAAATGAAAATACGTTGCAAACAAATTTTCTTCCCGGCCTAAGATGGTTAAGGATCGAAGAAGGCATCACATATATCAGTCATAAGGTACCTCAATCCTGTTTATTTGCCAGCGGAGAGGACCCAGAAGCAAGTTACCTCCAGCGAGCGAAGCGAGCTAGAAGCCAATGCCTAAGTGTGTCCAAAATGCGAGTTGTTCGGGCCAGGCTAAGGGACGATTCCTGACTAACTGCTATTTCTTGGGACAATCGGACTCAGTTAAGGGCAGTGGGGCGATCGCCCCCCCCCCCCCCGCCCCCCCCCTAATTACGCGCCTGCTAATTACGCGCCTGCTGGGTCGAAGAATCAAGACACTGCTTACCCCGATGAGATGCGCCAAGTTCCACGATCTGGATGCCGGGGAAATCATTGAAGGCCATTTCTTGGCGGCGTTGGTAGGACAGGTGGGCGGAGCGTCCTGCAAAAAGAAACGGAAACGTTCAGCACAGTGGCGAAGACACCTCGACTTCATCCATGACGGAAAATGCCAGCGAGGGCTCGAATCAAGTTGATGTCTAACAACTGGCCGTCCCTCGCGCTGCGCAAGCTGAGACCATGCATGCGCGTCCTAGAAGTCCAGGCAGTCTCCAAGGCCCCCCCCCCCCCCCAACTGTACGAGAAAGAAGTCCGAGAGAAAGCCCAACGACGGATACCGATGCACCGAAGGTTATACCGAGTGAGCCCAGCGCGTCCGTCGCCAACGGGCCCCGTTGGCCAGATCAGCCAGAGGCGGCAGACAGACGGACGCGGGGGCGAGCCGCTCGACGCCGAGTCAAGCCGACAGCAACCGGCCCTGCCTGCCCCTGCCCTGAGCGGCGAGACGCCTGCACGCATGCGTCCGAAGGAGTCGTCCGAAACAGAGAGATCCGACATACCCGCTGCTGTGCGACAAAGACACCGAGTCGCCTGGAACGCCAGCCAGGCACAGCCGGTCAGCCTAGCCGCCGCGGTCTGGGAAGCGGCCGTTGCCGGCCGCTTCCTGGCCGCCTCGCCCGGCGCTCGGCGCTCGGCCTAGCCAAAACCCGTCACCCCCTCACCCCCAGCCGCCAACGAACCCCGTTGACACACAAGTTTCGTCGGGCGGGGTCGGGCGGCCTGGGCGGCCAAGCTAGCTCGGGCGAGACGACGAACCGAAGTTCACCCGCCCCGCCGACCCGATCACGGAGACACCACCCTGCCGCGCCGCGGCACGCGTCTGTCCGTCTTCCGCGTCCCGAGGCCCCGGCGCGCCGGCGGCCCCGGCCTTGCCCCGGCTGGCATCGCTCGGCTCCGTCGAAACCAAGCGAGCACATCGTCCATCTCCCTTACTCCAACTGACTCTTGTGGGATAGACAAGGATAGATGCCAGCGGGCGACCCAGCGGGCGACACATCGGGTAGCCTTAACACGAGCACCATAACAAACCGTTGCACCGCGGGCAGCCAGAGGCTTTCCGGACTTGCAAGAAAAACTGACGAGCCGTGCCGGATCGCAGGATCTAGCTGCGCAAAGCCGCGAGGCCGCGAAACGCCAAATCAGAGAGCATGTCAACAATCAGCGGTAAAGTGGGGTGGGGTTGCACGGCGCGGCGCGGCGCGGGCAACGCATGGAGCACGTTCTTGGAAGACTGAGTCAAGCCTGCCCGGAAATCCCAGGAGGACATGCAGACATGAAGAAAAGAAAATTTTGCCAACAAACGCCGGGGTGGGAGTTCGGCCGCTCGCGCCACGGCACGCCGCGCCGCGCCACGCCACGGCCGGACTACGGTAACGGCGAGTCAAACTGCCCGATCAGCCACTGCAGACACAACACAGGCCAAAACATAACCTGAGGCCGGGGCGGGGCGGCCCTACGGCCCGTGCCGATGCCCACGGAAAAGACGCAGCGGGACGCGGCGAGGCCCCACCTAAACAAAGGCTGGGCGAGTTGAACGGGGCTGAGCCGCGCCAAACTGTCGAATAGGTCAGCACGCCCACACTGTAGCGCAACTCTCGCCACCCCCGATGAGCCGCGGCGCGACCAAAAGGCCGGGCGAGTTTGCTACGAGACGGGGCTGAGCCGTGATCCGCGACCAACTGTCGAATGGGGATGGGCCGGCACGCTGCCGGCACGCCGCCGATCAAATCAAAGGCCGGGCGTGTTTGCTACAAGACGGCTGAGCCGCGAGCGACGAACTGTCGAATGGGGAATGGGCCGGGCCGCCTCCGGCACGCCCACACTGAAGCGCAACTCTCGCGATTAGGGCACGATGACACTCGGACTGTCCACGACGTCTAGCCCAAGGGCAGACGAGTGCGGACAACGGGAGGATAAACAGCACGCTTCTGAAACCAACAGAGCTTACCTCGGCGGGGGTGAAGGTTCGCAGTCAGCATCATAGTGGGCAAGCTTAAGCTGGTAGTAAACTAGCAGAAGAAACTTGGCGAGCGAACAGACTTGAAAAACTAGAAGCAAAACTCAGACGGAGAAGCGATAGCGTACTATACAGGACGGAAGCGATTCTACGAATGACAGGGCTGCGCGCAGAGCGGCCACCGCTCAGCCTAGAGCTACCAAAGTGGGGTGCCAGCGCCACAGCGGTGAGGGAAGGGAGGCGTGACATGTGATTGGTTCACTTCATTCACTGTTGCATGGTTTCGCCCGTAGGTGGCAGCACTTGTCCGCCCGTCCTCACGGTCGAGCGGAAATCCTACCCACAGTTCCAAGCAATCCAAGCCGTGTCTGCTAGTTTGTTTTCGTCGGGTTCGCGAGTATTTATCTTGGAGAGCACTTGTGTGAAAGGCACTGCGCGAGGCTAGATGGTTCGGGACCCGAGCGTAACCCGAGCGAGCGCGGGAGGACCCGAACTGGCCGAAACGACTGACCGAACCCGAAGTCGTGGTGTTTGCTCATTTTATGTATTTCTTTAACTCTAGAGGTAAAAACAATGTTACCATGGGCATTTTATAAAATGTAAGGGCCGCATAAGTGTTTTTTTTAACAATTTGACAATATGTTGGAAAAAGAAAACAACAAACAACTCTTGCATCAAGTGAATTATGTGAACTGTATTACTCAACTTATTTTCCAAACCTTTTTAAATATTTGGATAAAAATTAAAAGATAGAACAGAATATTTTTGTTTAGCTTTTTTAAATTAGTCGAACCAATTTTTTTCTCAAACTTGCTAAAACAAGACTCCGTCAATGCAAGTGCCGAAAGTTTGCAGAGACGCAGAGACTTAAAATTCTTCGGACCAGACCTTGAGGTCAAAAAGTCAGTCGCAAGAGACATTTTAGCTTAACGCTAAAATGAAATGATAGCTCAAGGTGAGGTGTGGGAAAAAAACAGCTATTAACACAAAATAAAAAACAATTCGTATTAGTTGTCCATTGAATCCTGTACTAAAGAAGTTGCGAGTATGACTAATGTATTGTAGAACATCTAACATGCACAAACAAAATTTGAAGAAAGTTGTAAGCTTCCAGTTGTCGTAATCTCTCATCGATTAGTTTAAGAGATTCCGCGCAACAGTTATGGTCAGGTCTAGTCTTCGACCTGATAATTTATCTCTCTTTTTCTTCCGAAGTTTCTTAGATAGTTGTCAACAGAATTAAGAAGCGAAAATGATGCACTTGTTCACATTTTGGAACAAAAAAAGAAATATTAGGCCAGTAAATGTCACCATTTTTGTTGACTTATGGCAATTTTTCCCCATCGTATATTTTTAAAATATTTTTTCCAAAATTAGTTTTGAGTTTGTGGACATCCTTTCTTCTTTTCCCCAAGCAATATGAGTGACTTAGTGACTTTAGTTGCATGATCAGAATAATTGAATTTCATATGGCACCTTCGGCTTTGGCTTCGGGCCGAGTCGGGGCCTTCGGCTTGCCTTCTGCTTCGGGTCTCCGTTCGGTTCGGCACCTCCTAGCCTCTCGCATGGCACCTTTCACACAAGTGCTCTCCAAGATGAATACTCGCGTCGGGTTCCGCGTCTTCCGCGTCGTCTGCTCGACTCTTCGACTCGGCGCAGAGACTTGGCAACAGCGCAAGCGGTCTGCCGGAGTAGCCGGAGTTAGCCCCGTGCCCTGCCCTGTGGTTCGTTCTCGTTGTACGTGCTAGGGGTTGGTACTTAACGCCCATATTTTGTCCATCTCTCAACCCCCCACCAAGTTCGAACTGACTTGATGAAAGGTCACGGTGCATTCTAGACTAGCCGGTCGTAGACTCTGAGTCCTAGGACTCTAGCCGGTCGATGTTGTTGAGGTACTGCTTATCCTAGGCTAGCCAATCGGAATCAAGGCTTGGAGTATTTCCTCAAGTTCAAAGTAATTATCTGAAGTGGGAATGGGATTGGGACATTCAGAAACAGAGAACAATTTTTCAACAGTAGCAATTAATCTTATATTTAACCAAAACCAAATTTTCAATGTACACCACTATGTGCAGATAATGCACTGATGCTTTTATCTCCAACATGTCTCAAAATTAATATGTAAAACCTACAATGAGCATAACTTGTTGCTTACACTAAATTCATTTTATTGTTTCCGTCTTGAATGTGAAGTCCTTACAATGTAATAATCTCAGAAGACAGGGAGGACAAAAAACATCCAAACCTCTACCCATACCGAGTTCAAACCCAATCCTATTTATTAACTGTTATTGTTTCCTATTTTACCCATCACCTCAAACTCAGATTTATTTTTAAAATGTTGTTTATTTGCTCTTGCTTCAAAGCAAATCCTTAAAATATATATACTACACAGTGGCAGATTTTTAGTGTGGAAATCATCAATGCATCATTAACACATCATTAAAACCTAACTCATAAACCATCAAAAGGATAGTATTGGCAAGAACAACAAAGATACAGGAAAACCCTGCAGACCCAACTGTAAAAGTAGCATTTTCACATAAATCAAGTCAAAAAAATATGAGGACTACGTCACAGGACTCTTATTAAATAGATCACAAAGTTCTTTTTGACAAAGATATCTCTAAATCTTGGAGCAAGAACGCCAACAAGAGGCACAAGCTCAAAAGTATCTTCCGAGGACCTGCAGACACTCACAAATGCGAGCGTCTGAGGTTGGCCCCTAGTCAGGAGGGAGCTTTATCAAATCGTATCATCATGTAATTAGAATTGCCCTGCTCCAGAGTATAACCAAGAGATGAATAAAATGGCACTAGCTTATCCTTGCAGTCAAGTGTCATCTTGTAACAATTCAGCTCTTCTGCTAACAGAGTTACAGTCATGATAATTCTGTAAAAGAAATAAAAAATTCATGTATTCATATCACACTGATGAAAAAAATTTAACAAAAACATGATAAGTCAAAACCAAGTTAGAAAAGCAAATTATCAATTGACCAGAGTAACTCTGTGAAACTTACAGTTTGCCAAGCTGCTTCCCCCTGTAGGTATTGTTTACAACAACATCTTCAAGTCTGCCACGCTACATTAAAAGAAAAAAACACAAGAAATATGTGAATAACTACAATGAGTTGAATGTCAAAAATGTAGTAAAAGCCTATACTTACAACAGCACAGCCATGAATAAATTTTTGCTCAACAACAAGAGTAGATGATCCTATGACCTGGCCATTAGTTGTGTCCTCAATGACAGTGACATAGTATGTGTTGGGGCAGGCTTGCATGGCATCAAAGCGCTCTGAAAATAGTTTAACAAAGGGATTAAAAATAAAGCTGAAGAAATTGTTTCAATCAAAAAGACAGTGGAGGAGAGAAAAGCTTACTGAGAAACTGCTCCTCGGAGACCTCTCCAACTGATGTAAGCTGGGACAGCAACTGCAAGAACCCTGTAAAAAAAAACAGTCTAATGTAAGAGTGCCAGGCAAACATACAGATGACCGCCGAGCGAGACCTTTTCCGCCACACAAACACACAAAGTCACCCCTGACTGAGAAGCAGTGGTGGTGGTGGTGGTAGTGATGAGAGGAATGAGCGGCGGGGTAGAAACTACCCGAAACTACCCTTGTGGGAGAGAGGGGCCCCCCGTCCCCCCCCCAAAAAAAAATCCTTGCCCCCCCCCCCCCTTTCCCCACGACTTTTGTCCAGCCTCTCCCCCCTAAAAAAAGGTGTCCAAACTCAGGGAATGACCCCTCCCCTATTTTTTTTTGCTAGATGCTTCGCGAGCCTCATCGCGTTCATGACAACTAGTGTGGCGTTTCACATTGGATCGAAATCGACACGGGGCCCCACGTGTCCTGCGTGTCCTGTCGCACTGCCACACCGTAAAAGCGCGGGGTGGCAAGGGGGCAAGGAAGCGCGGTGCGTCCAGACGGGGAAACAAAAGGAGAAAAAGAGAAGGAAAGAGGAAAGTGAAACTGGTTCCCGACGGACGGACGGACGGACGGGTTGACCTTGGTGCTGGAGTCAACGGGCGGGCCGGGGCAGGATAGGGCGTTCCGGAGCCGGTCTGGCTGCAGCTCCACTCCGAACAGTGCCCTCGCCGCCCTCGCCTCGTAGCGCTGTCTCTCTCGCACCCCTACGCGACGCAACGCCACGCGACGCGACGCGCCATGCGTGCGAGAGAGACTAGACGACGGAATGGAGCTGCAGCGGGCACAGGCGGCTGGTGGACGAGGCATCTTGCAGGCATGCCCTGCCACGCCCTGTAGGCCAGTGTAGGCCCCTCCCCCGATCCGTCTTCCCGAGCAGTGTACTGTACTACATCCAGCACACAGCCCGACTGGGCATCGACTGCGGCAATGCCGGCAGCGTCGCCACCCCGACAATGCCATTGGGAATTCCCTCGGCTCCCACAGGCCGGGATTCGAACCCCGGCCTGTCGGCCTGTCGACAGCTTCGACCACTTCCTCGGTTTCGTTGCGCAAACGGCCGGCCAGCCCGGCCCTCGGGCGCGGCCTGCAGCGCGGTGCAGCGCGGTGCACTTCCAGTGCAGGCTGCACGTGCTGCACGCACCGCGGATCACCCAGCACCGCCACGTGGACCTTCACGTTCGGCCGAGTGCAGCTTGCGCAACGCTATCGTGCCCGGCGATCTTGGTGGGGATCGGCCGAGCGAGTCCTAGGCGTCTGTCTCTCTCGCACCCCTGCGGATTACATTACGCCCCACGAGTGCGACAGAGACAGACATACTCACCCCTGTTGTAGTCCGCCCTGCACAGGGGTCGCACGCGCAGGCCGTCGCCCGGCCTCGCCGCCGACACCGGAGGGCTGAACTTGGTGGGGGCCTTGGAGAAGTCCAGCCGCTGCAGAATCTTGGGGTCGTACAGAGGCTCCTCGCTGAGGATGCCCTGCCACACAGAAACGGAACCGTTTGAAAATGGACAAGCGGAGGGTGCAAGTTGCGCTACCACCCTGTGGTTTAGATTCGGTGACCATTCTAAAAATAAGAACTCACACTACAAGTTACAAAAAAAAACACACAAAAAAGTCAACAACTTTTTCGTCACAGGCTAAGCGACACTGTATTGTAATGCCGACAAGGTGTGTAAACATTGCACGTTCAAAATTAGGTGTGTGTGACGTCCAGGTAGAAGATTTTCAGTAAACGTGGAGTGGTGTCCCTCCACTAGTCGTATCGAAATATGGTGACGCCTGACTCCGTCAACCCCATGGTAGAAACAGCTGTGAAGGGGTTAACCCTGCAGGGCGGTTGTTGACAGGTGGATCTTACCTCCTTGGGGGCCCCCATGGTCGTCCCTGTGGCCCTTATCGTTCAACCGGGGCACTGGCTCCGCCGGGCCGCTCCGTCAATGTGAGAGAGGAGAGGGACTCGGCCGAGACTCCTCACGCTTCAAGCCTTCATCCTTCATCCGTCAAAACAAAACAACTTTGCCAGCGCCAGCAGACCACTTTTCTTCGTCTTCACTTCTTCTCCCTCTGCTCTGCGGATAGTGAGATATGAGAAATAAATCGGTACATTTCGACGGGTGTGGCAGAGAGAGAAATCCAGAAATCAACAACATTTTTGTGGAATATGTGTCAACGTTAATCGTTTCTGCTATTGCCGTTCTTGGTTAACTGGTATATTTTGAAAATTGAATAATTACTTTCAGTTGCATTGTCACTTTCCTAAAGCTAAGAATTTTGATCACAGCGACATCTGTCATTTCAACACACATTTAGGTTACGTTACCCACAGTACAAATGAATACAATGGAAGTTTTAACTGGTTGGTTATTTTCATGTAGCTATTTTCTCTTAATTCCTTTCTTTTTTAAACTTCATAACCTCTTAATTATGTTCTTATTGAAAAAGAGATGTTTTTACAAGATATCTGTTGCATTGGCTGACTGCACTCTTTGATCTATTACAGCTAAAAATTTAAAATCTATTTTACCATCACCACATCGCACCCAGGGAGATGGTATGGAAAATGACGTTGAATCTCTTACTAAATCTGAAACTCAGCCAGGTACATCCTCAAAGCCATCCAAGAAGTCACTGGTAATATGGGTCACTCCCCTGCTACTTCTGTGTTCATTTACCACAGAGTTGTATTACTATTAAACATTTTTCTTTTCTTTGACAGGTTGATGATTTTTTATACCGTCCCGCTGATGTAAGCCAACGTAGCTTACCGCCTCCTGTACTGCCTGGCCGTATGGTTAGTCTGACTTCAAACAACATTATACACCTTAAGAAAGACAAACATAATACAATTGGTTTCAAATCCAAGGAGCCAAAGTTTGTGCCCTATGAGCCATATAAGGCGGCAGTCAACCCAATTGTGCCTATTCCAAGACACAAAGGTTCCATGAGAGCTCTTATGACGTCAACTGCGGCTTGTCACAAAAGTTCTATCAAAGAAGACAAGATACGGAAAGAATCTATTAAGAGTTCAGTTTCGACTGAACCAGAACAATCAAAGGAAGGAGGAGAGTGCAAACCAGCATCTCAAAGCAGGGATGAGGCTGTTAGTTCTGATTCAAGTAATGAATGGAAGCAAGAGAAGAAATTGATGGAGGCAGAAATTCAGCAACTCAAGGATGACAACTGTCAATTAGAGATTCAACTGAAATTTCAAACACAGGTATATTGGTCTTGTAGAAGATGTATTCTTGTAAATATTTACATTTATTGTTATTCTTTTACTGTTCTTATTTTTATTTAGGTGAATGGTGAACTGAAGAAACTTCTTGTTGCTGCAGTTGGAGAAGATATTGAAACAAGGGTGAATCATTTGACAGAGGACAAAGTTCACCTGGCAAGGGCTTTGTTAACATCAGCCCAAAGTCAGTCAACTCACCAAGAACAAACTGAATGGTTGGCAGGTCAATGTGAAGTATGGCGAAGCAAATTTCTTGCCAGCAGGTAATATCACACTTGATGTAAAATAACTTTGAGTATCATGTATTAAAATAATAATTTCATTTTACTATTCAACTCTTTTTTACCCTTCCCAGCTTAATGGTAGAGGAACTAGCCCGATGGAAAGCTGCGTTGAGTCAAAAAGCTATTGACTTGCAAGAGGTTGTACAGCGAATGTTGGAGGAAAGATGTAAAATTCGCTCATCTCTACTAGATTGTCATAGGTTTGTCAGATCTACTTTCTTGCAAGAATAAGTATAGAAAACGATTGGAGGTGACTAATGGAGTGTTTCTTTGCAGAAAACTTAGTGTTCTGAGAGATAATTTTGACCTAGTATCAGCAGTGAGTGGAGGTCACAGCACCTCACGTCGGCATTTATCCTCAAGTAGTATTGTTGACCTCACCAATGCCAATCAGAAGCTTTGTGATGCAGTTACTGTTCAGTTACTTGGCAGTGCCATCAACAAGATTGCAAAATTCTCCCTTGACTACCAGAACCTTGATCAGTACACTCCGACAGAAAAAGTTGCACTACAGGTGAGGCTTTACCTCCTTAACTGAATAAACCTTCTCAAATTCCCGGCCAACGCTATAAACTCCTCGTGTCTGTGTTCCAGTTGCTGCAGCAGCCTGTCACGGCTCTCCTCGCCGGTGGCCCCGATGCGGCATGCAACGCCGTGATGGGAGCCGCCATGGCTCTGGGAGGGTCCCAGCTGTTCCCTCAAGCTCCCCGCTTCGCCTGCTGTGCACACTGTAGTGGGGAAATAAAGCAAATGTGATGTCAAAAAGAAATGCTGTTTTAACTTCGATTTTTGATAATAATCAGGACCACACTTTCTAGACCTAAATTTATAGGGGGTGGAAAAGTATAAGCTTTTGTTGTGTGTGTAAAATTTTGTACCTTGACTCCATAAATAATGAATTTGTGACACTGTGATTCAACGTCTTGGATTAATGGAAATTTTTAATAACTTTTGTATTATGTACACAAATAATTTAAGATACCTTTGTATAGTTTAGATATTTACTCTTTTGAGTTTAATCAATTGTTGACAAATTGTATAGTATTTTAATATGTTACCTTAGTAAGAAGCACTTAAATTGATATAGCTGGAAATGAAGTTGAAGTCAATTATTTGTACTTTGTGATCTGTGATGTTACTGTTAGTGTTTTATTTTAGTTGCTTTTTTTCTGTTCTTGGTTTCATCCATGTTCTTATTAGAGCATTTTGTGATAACTCACAATAAAATTAAAAAACCCAAGTGCCGTTTACGTTTTTCATCTCTTTCCCTTTGCAGGAAGAGAGTTTGCTGCCTTGATTAAATAAATCAATGAATCCAATAGTAAATCAGTTATCGAATCTCTCGCTTGAAGTCGTTTTCAAAGAAACTGAAGAAAATGCAGGCAGTTGTCACATTGTGTGATCAGCCTGAAGGGATGGCAGTGTCGCGGTGCTCTGAAGCTCTGTGGGTGCACAGTGGGCCAGAAGACCGGCGCAGGCGGCCAAAATTCTTGACGCATTCATTCAGTCGCTACATGGGACTCGAACTAAGCGTATGACCCCACTAATGCACTAATGGATTTCTCGTTCGGAGAGCAATTCATTGGTGGGGTCACACGTTCGGTTCTTGTCCCATTTAGCGACTCTGGAGCTCAAAACGCGTCCGGGATTTTGGCCTCCTCCACCGGTCTTCTGGCAAATCCACTGTGGTTCGGGGAGATAGCTCGTTGCGGTCGTTGCGCCCCTGCGGGGGAAGAGGGGTCTTCACGTGGTGCACGCCTGGTGGGTCTCTGGCCGATGCTCATTGCTCATGTCTAGGGCTGCCCGGGCCAGCCAGCAGACTGATGTCGAGAGTGGTTTGCGTCGCTCTATCTCTCTTGCTCCCACACGGGACGTCCCATGAGAGCGAGAGAGACAGCGACGAAAACCTCTCGGAATCAGTGTGCTGGCTTGCTCAGCTGTTCGCGGTTCGCGGTTTGGTCGGCCGAAATGCTTTATTACGTGCCGTTTCGAAAAGCGCTGTTGGCTCACGGCTCGCCTGGGCTGAGGCAGCGCACTGCCGAGTCGACTGATTCCGGAGGATCATCGCTTTGTCTCTGTCGCACTCATGCGGCGTTCCGGAGGGGTGCGAGGGAGACAGAGCGATGAAACGGTCCTTGGGAATGGCTCGGCAGCAGAAGACGCTAGTTGACTCGAACCGCCGCCCCTCTCTCCGGGACTCGCTCGGCTAGATCACCGACTGATTCGCTCGGTCTCTCTTCCACGCCTACGCGACGCCCCGCGAGTGCGAGAGAGACAGAGCGACGAGAGCGCGCTTTGGACTCAGCCTGGTGGCGGCATGCTGCGGTGTGGTAACTGGGAACGACACCTCGCTGCACCGCACTGCACCGCACTGCACCGCACTGCACCGCACTGCACCGCGCGGCGCGGGGCAGCCGAGCGATTCAGGAGAGTCGTTTCGCCGCTCTGTCTCTGTCGCACTCACGGGGCTGCCCGCAAGGGTGCGAGAGAGACAGAGCGACAGGCAGGCAGAGCGCCGTGACCATCGCGGTGCAGCCGCGGTGCAGCACCGCCGACGCCTCGGCGAAGCGATCTGCGCGGCGCGTTCTGCAGTGCAGGCCCTGCCAGTGCCTGCCAGTGCCTCTCGCAGTGCCTGCCAGGCAGCGTTGCCAAGCGTCGGCTGGGCCTTCTACTCTACTCCGCTGCGCTGGGGCCTCCCTGGCCTCCTGGAGCCCTCCAGCTACCTCGGGCCTCTGGCTCTGCGGACGGGACCGACTGCAGTACTGGAACTGAGGCGAAGCGTGCGAAGCGTGCGAAGCGTCAACCGGCAGAGGAAGAAGAAGTGGAGGTCGAGCCTCGCCGCCCTCAAGGCCGGGTGCTGCCGTGTGCCCAGTCGCGGCAAAGCTGCCGCATGATGCCACCCTCGCAGGGGTGTGGGGCTTCGTCGGGAGCGGGGCGCGGGGCGCGGGGCGCGGGGCGCGGGGCGCGGGGCGCTGGGCGCGGGGCGCTGGGCGCGGGGCGCGGGGCGCGGGGCGCGGGGCGCGGGGCGCGGGACGCGGGGCGCGGGGCGCGGGGCGCGGGGCGCGGGGCGCGGGGCGCGGGGCGCGGGCGCGGGACGCGGGGCGCGGGGCGCGGGGCGCGGGACGCGGGGCGCGGGGGGCGCGGGGCGCGGGGCGCGGGGCGCGGGGCGCGGGGCGCGGGGCGCGGGGCGCGGGGCGCGGGGCGCGGGGCGCGGGGCGCGGGCGCGGGCGCGGGGCGGCGCGGGCGCGGGGCGCGGGGCGCGGGGCGCGGGGCGCGGGCGCGGCGGGGCGCGGGGCGCGGGCGCGGGCGCGGGGCGCGGCCGGAACCAGCGCACCACCGCTGTGTCCTGTCGGCAGTCCGGCCGCCCTGCAGCGTAGGCCAGCCCGCCACGCAGGTGTGTCGCTTGGCTGCCTACCGCGCAGGCTGCTTCGGCTCGGCGGCGAGCATCAGGTTGGAGCGTTTTGAGCGCCAGGGTCGCTAAACGGGACTCGAACCGAACGTGTGACCCCACCAATGGATTGCTCTCCGCACGAGGAATCCATTGGTGGGGTCACACGCTCGGTCCGAACCCTATTTAGAGACTGGAGCTCAAAACGCGTCTAGAGTGTTGGCTGCCGGGGCCGTCTTCTAGCCTACTGTAAACCGCCCTCTCCCCTCCCCCAACACCGCCCATGCCCCTCCCAGCCCCACTGCCCGCACAATCCAAGTTAACTTGAACTGGAAAAGCTGGGTGGGCCACAGCAGATGGCCTTTTGCCATTTCGGAACTTGTAGATCGACCTGCCTGCCGCCAACTGCACTGTTCAGGGGATGGTCACGGCCAAATTATGATATGACCGCGGGCATGATAAAAAGCGACGCCAGAAATCGGCGTGACAGAAACATCCCACCTCGGCCCGGCCCACACGCGCCTGCCGCTCACACTCGTCGCTTTCTATAAAGAAATGTCACGTATTCCATGGTCCGCTGGACCTTTGTGCTCTCGAGTACGTTGGTCTGTCTGCCCGCGTTGCCGTGCCGTGCCGTGCCGCGCCGTGCCGCGCCGTGCCGCGCCGTGCCGCGCCGTGCCGCGCCGTGCCGTGCCGTGCCGCGCCGTGCCGCGCCGTGCCCGGATTCACGCGAGCCTGTTTCGCCGGCTGATGACTGGGAGCTCGGCGGGCGCGAGCTCTCCTCCTCCCCACAGCTGGCTGGTGCTTTAGCCACGGCAAACAAGGCCCGCTCGGCGCACGGATGCACGTGGACCGACGCGTTGTCACTACTCCGTCTCTCTCGCACCCTCATGAAGACAGCCATGAGAGCGACAGAGACAGAGCGACGAAACGACTCTTTTGAACCGCTCGGCTGCCAAAACGGAAGCGTCAACTAATAACGAAGAGGCGCTAGTTTGACTTACTGGAACAAACCAGCCCCCCCCCCTTCCCCCCGCCACGCCCCACCCCCCTCAGCCCCGCCCCGCCCCGCGTCGACCCGCCTCACTTCCGCGCACAATATTTTTAATGAGTCACGAGTCGCGCTCTGGAGCGCGCCCCTATAAAAGGTCCAGGACACGGGACAGCCAAAGACGGCCACTCCGGTGAATCGGGTGCGGCGGGGCGGGGCGGGGCGTGCAGGCCGCCGTCGTGCCCCAGGCCGCAGGGAAAGTGCTGCCTCCTGGTGCCGAAAGACTAAACGACTCAAGTAACGAGCTTCACGTTGGCTGCCAAGCTGCCAAGCGGTCAGGACGGCGGCGAGGAGGACAGGGGAGGAGGGGGGGGGGGGGAGCAGCTGGACTCGGCCGACTCGGCACACGCGGCGTGCTTTGGCGAAAGGTCGCTTCCTTCTCGGAGCGCCATCTATACCGAACTTCTTTCGTGACTTTCTTGCACAACATTGTGGCCGTGTGTGTGTGTGTGGGGGGGGGGGGGGGGGTGAGGGAGCCTTAGCGACACGAAGGGGGCCTCATGCGAGGGGGAAGTTCGTCACCGTCCCGGTTGCGTGTGTGTCGCCTTAAGCCGCGTCGCCAACTCGAGAGCAGTGTCTCAGCCTGTCTTCTTTGGCTCCGTGACGACACTGGACGACACGCGACTGCGGCCCGGTACGGTCCAGGCGGTCCAGCACGACCGCTGCACCGCGGCCGTCGCGGCGGGACTCGGAGGGACTGGTCAGACTTTGGCCGCGGGGCCGCGCCGGGCCCGCCTACTCGGCGCCCACACCGCATGGGCCATCGTGTACGGCTTGCGCAGCTTGCCACATTGTACGGGTTGGACGGGTTGGCGCCGGCGTCGCACACCCAGTGCCTGCACAAGTTGCAGAACAATTAGCCGGCAGAGTTTGGCTTCGTCGCTCTGCGTCTCTCGGGCCCGCACGGAACGCCCCCCGGAACGCCCCTCGGAACGCCCCTCGGAACGCCCCCCGGAACGCCCCTCGGAACGCCCCTCGGAACGCCCCTCGGAACGCCCCCCGGAACGCCCCCCGGAACGCCCCTCGGAACGCCCCCCGGAACGCCCCTCGGAACGCCCCTCGGAACGCCCCCCGGGACGCCCCCCGGAACACCCCCCGGAACGCCCCCCGGAACGCCCCCCGGAACGCCCCCCGGAACGCCCCTCGGAACGCCCCTCGGAACGCCCCAGGAGTGTGGCGGCATGAGCCGGCTGGGGCCAAGGGGTGCGCTGGAGAGCCGCCACCAAGCCGTCGCCAGGGCCGCCGCCACGCCGCGGGGCGGCTCTTGTCCGTCTGAGCGCCATCCAGGGCCACCCTGGGCCATCTTGGTCAAGCGCGGTTCCAGGCGCAGAGGACAATTGAAAGCCGTCTTGGTCTCCAAATGTCCGCCTGAGAGGTAGGCAGAAAGCCACACTTTGCCCCCCCCTTTCCCCCAAGAAAAAAGTGTTACTTTGCCTCAGTCTGACTATCTGGATCCGCCACTGGTCCTGGGCCGTCCTGGGCCGTCCTGGGCCGTCGCGCCGTGCCGTCAGTGTGGACCAAGGTCGCAGGCATTCAATTCGATTCGCTTGAGCAACTCCCCGCCGGGCCGTCCGGCCGGGCCGTCCGGGGATCGCCACGCCGCCATAGGTCGCGCTGGGTCCCGGCGCCACGCCGCGCCACGCCGCGCCACGCCGCGCCACGCCGGGCAGACCGTTTGCACGACGGGGACACCGCGAAAAACGCGTCGCTGAAAACGATATCTAACGTGAAAGCAGAGGAAACAAAGGAAACTTTTCAGTATTATTCTTATGGCAAATGTAAAATATAGTTGCAGGTACGCTTTCG